ATAATAATAATAAATAAAAAAATAAAAAAAATAAAAATAAAAACTTCCAAAACTCCATTAAATGCATTTGAAAGAAGTGTCAAATTTTATTTATGATTTATTATTAAACTAGCGTGTTGTCGTGCCATGTATGAGTAAATTATATTAAATAATAATTATAAATTAATAAGTAAATAAACAATATTACATAATAATTGTAAATTAAAAGAATGAGGTTAACATGTGATATAATTTACAATATAAAATTATCTTGTTTAAAATAACAAAAAACATGTATGTTTAAAATATTAAAAACAACTAAAATATTATATAACATATATAAGATTATGTAAAATTATATATATTATTATTAAAAAATTTGAATTCACCTAAAATAACTCTTTTATAACCAAAACATATCTAAGCACATTTAATTTAACACACACACACACACACACACATATATATACACACACACACACACACACACATATATATATATATATATATGTGTGTGTGTGTGTGTGTGTATATATGTAGGGTTGAGTTCCCATGAGAATGGTTTCTAGTGAAAGAAATAAGAATACATATTAGCCATTAGATCGGATGATCTAACTGTTTAAAAAAAATCTAAATTATACCTTCACTAAGGTTATTATGGTAAATTACACACAACACTCAAAGAGGTGGACCCACTAGTCAACTACCAACACCTGCAGATCACACGCCACCACGCCACCTACCAGCCCCATGCTCTGTTCTCTCTTACACAGAAACAACACACACACACACACACACACACACACACACATCTTCTTCATACACACACCGGTCCCCGCCACCCGCCGCCGGCCTCTGCCTTCCGCTGCCGGCAGCGCATTCCTCCACCCTAGAGCGTACGGTCGTCTGGTTTCGTTGTCCATCTCCTGCACGGGCGAGGTCGATATCCTCGGGATCCGTCGGAAATTAGCCGGGAAATGAAGCACACGAACACGCCGGAGCAAAAATCTCAGCTCCAATTCTCGGCCTTCTGGCGGAATAATTCAATAGCTCGGTTCTCGATCATGAAGACAGGTGGCGAGCTCGACTGGATCCCTTGAAATCGAGCGTGCGACGACACAATTTTCTGAAAATCGAGCGTGAAGACAGGTTGCCAATTGCACGGCGTTTTCAGAAATTCGGTCGGAATATTAGACTTGGATCCATCGTCGCGAGTCGAGGAACGTCGTCTTCGTGAGGAGTGGACGACCGGAGATCCGCCGGAAAGATTGACGAGATTGAATTTGGGTTGATGTCTAATTTTTAAGAATTAGATATTTCTTAGGGTCCTAATTGAATTTTCATAAAGTTTGATTAAATGTCAATTTAGTACATGGGCAAAATTTGTAATTAAGAAAAACTTTATAAAAAGTATGATTGTTTATATATCTTTTTATACATATAAAATAAAATAATAAAACAAAAAATATTAAATGAAATAATATAAAATATTAAAATCATATACAAATAATATAAAATAATAAATAAAAATATTAAATTGATAAATAAACTTTTATATTAAAATAATAAATTATTTCATTTATTTAGGTAAATCATTCGGTTAACCAATTAAAAAAATTGATTATTAAATAAAAAATATAAGATATCAAAATGATTTATAATAATAAATAAAATTATATAATAAAAATAATAAATTAAATGATATTTTATTTATTTAGGTTCATTAGATGTAAACTTATACCTATTAAAATTAGTTTTCGAATACAATTGGGAAAGTATAATTTAGTGCACTTTATACAACGAAATATTGCACTTTATATAACAACGAGTCGCACTTTATAAAACAATGGGAAAGTATAAATTATTTGTATAACAATGACATAAAACAATGGGAAAGTATAAATTATTTGTATAACAATGTCACTTTATAAAATAATGGGAAAGTATTAATTAGTGCACTTTATACAACGAAATATTGCACCTTATACAATAACCAGTCGCACTTTATGAAAATTAAAACAACATGTTGCACTTTATTATTAGACTCGCCAATTTGTGTCAATATCTCCCGCCAAAATATTACGCAACATAGATTTTAAAAAAAAAGGGGGAACGACATGATACTTTATATCCACAAAAATCACACAATCATGTTAACGTAACAGAATTTAAGTATTACACTTTATATATCAATACATTGCACTTTATACAGTAACATGGTGCACCTTATAACACAACACATTGCACGTACCATAATTACAGTATTATCGATCAAATAATATTAGTTGGTTAATGACGGATACATTTTTTATAAAAAAAAATGGCTGAACATGTCGAACTATATTGAAAACATATTATCAGATTTTTTATATATTTTTAATTATAAATATTAATATTATTTTATTTATATTTTTTATGTATTGCGAGTGCACATTAGAGCTATACGGATTGCACGTAAATGTCTATTAGATTGCACAAAAAACGAACAATATATATCTAACATAAATTCGATGCGAAATTTTATATTTTGGTCCTATTATTATTATTATTATTATTATTATTATTATTATTATTATTATTATTATTATTATTATTTTATATATCGAATATTTCGGTACAGTGGCATGTTTTTTTATTTAAATAACATAAATAAAAACCGAAATATATTAGAAAATAATATTTCGTACAACCGCGATCACGATTAACAAGACTAAAATTTTCGATTGGAAATTTTATACTTTTAATAATTATCTATTTTCACTTTAATTCTTTTTTTAAAAAAACTGACTACACTATTATAAATATACATAATGAGTTAATTCAATTATTTTGATTAAACCGAATAATCGACTGAATAAATTGATCATTTATGTTCGATTTTATTTTGGATTGTGATAAAGAATACCATCGATTAGATTAATATCTCACAACTGTGCACATTAGTGTCTCACAGGTTGCACATTAACATTCGAAACTGACCTATAGAATATTTCCGATTAGAAACTCATATGTTAGATCAAATATAATTTTCAAATTTCAAAAGTTCGGTTATTTGTGTTCAATGTCGGCTTTAGGTTTAAAAATTTATTTATCACTATTTTTAAATTTATTAATTTATTAATAATTTAGTACAAATATTTATCTCACTATAATTTAATTATATGTTATAATTAAGGTTTAAAAAAAATACAAAATAGTCCCAACATTAACCTAATTTTCATAAACTAACCCCTAAATCAATACCCACCCAAATCACCCCAAAATTACAATTCGCATTCCCAGCCAAATCACTCTTTCACCCAATTCAATTCTCCCAGCCAAATCACTTCACCCAATTCATTCACTACATTAGCAATTAAATCAAGAATTCACACGAAAAAAAAAAATCCCACAATCCAATTCATTCACACAACACAACAATTAAATCAAAATCACCAATATCAAAATTCCGACGAAATTTACATGAATCACGCTTCAAATTCATCATCCCCACTAACATATCCGGCCGCTGCCACACATCTCCCGTTCCGGTCGCCGGCGAGCTCGTCCAGTTAAGGTCGCCGTTCCTCTACTATTCCCGATTCATCCTCATCTGCAACACTCGGATCTATTGTCTCCCTCGCCGTCAGTACAATCGGGACGTTCGATTTGGCGGGCTGAGCGAGATTGAGACAGGGGTAGGTGACAGTGGTGGCGGTGCTGGGATGGCTGGCGGTGACGGCGACTTCGGGCAGCGAGATTGGGCTAATGGCAGTGGCCGGTGGTTTGTGGTGGGTTGACTCCGGCCGTGTCTGATAATAGGGGAGGTGGAGGGAGCTGATGGGGATGGCCGACGACACTCTCCGTGATGGTAGCGACGGCGGCGGTAACCGGTGATTTGGAGCTGATCTTCCGCCGTGCCAACTGGAGTGTGTGTGTGTGTGTGTGTGTGTGTGTGTGTGTGAAAATTGTGTAGATATGGGAGAGGTGAATATAAATAAAGTGTGGGTCCATGTGGTATATGTATAATGACCAATTTATCCTTAATTACTGGTCAAATCTAAAATTTTGACCACAATAGATTAAATAATTACCAGATTGCCATTAATGATTGACCACTATTTATAAAAGTTTGACTTCATCATGACCATTGACTTGATGGACCCAATGGTGTAGATTTATTCTTATTTCTTTCACTATAAGTCATTCTCATATGATCCCTTCTATATATATATATATATATATATATATATATAGGGGGAGGATCCAATGAGTACACTCCTTAAAATGAGTACACTCTTTAAAATGAGTCCACTTCTTAAAATATATATTAATTAAATAATAAAATAATTATTAGTTGACTCCGGCGTTGACTGTTGACTTCCGGCGTTGACCGTTGACTTCCGGCGAAAAATCGTTGACTTTCGACGTTGACCGTTGACTTTCGGCGTTGACTCCGGCATTGACCGTTGACTTCCGGCGTTGACCCGTTGACCCCTAATATGCATCATATGTATGAAGTAAATATGCATCCAGTACCATGCATTCAATATGAACTAAATATGCATGGGATATGA